ACAGTTTTATTTTTAATAAAACTTGCAGGAACTTAAGAGCCAGTTTTCCACTGAGAACATGCCAATTTGATCATATGTCCCAATAAAATGTTCTTTGAGGAATTTGCCTGCCTCAGAGTTCTTATTAAATGGGATGTATTACTTGAAATCTTGACAGGTGGTTATTTATTGTTAATCCTATTTCTTTGGATCACTTCAGACAATTGAGACAAGTACTTCTAGACTTTGCTGAGAATAGTTTCAGTGAAATTCAATAACTTTGTTAATCTCTGCATGTTGATGATGGTAGTTGTGCCATTTCTGTGTAAAATATTGATATATGGTCCTTCCACACCTTGTCTCCCTAGTCTATTGCCAAGAGATAAGCAAGACCTGTTGCTTATAAATCTCAAATTTTGAAGTCAAATGGAATTTTGGAATTTCATCAGAACTTCGTTCATTTGCTTCCTTCTGCAAAAGGAGGTGGTGATGATGTTCATCCATTGAGTTGTGGGCTGTCCACGTATGTCCGCTTGTGGCTGGTAAGGCCTATATGGGCACGGAAAGTTCTGCCACATGTTGGGCAGACGTGTGTGGGCAGCATTGTTGTAGCATTTGCAGCTCTGGCTTTGCGGAGTGCTCATTTCTTTTGTGGTGTGGTAGTTCTTTTGTCTTCAAATATCTGGCAGCCTTGGTGGATCAAAGTGCGCCATGTTGTACCAGGGTTTCCCAGGAGATGGTGTCGATGTCCAGGGGTTTGAAGGAGGCTTTCAACATGTCTTTGTATCGCTTCCTTTGTCCCCCTTGCGATCGCTTTCCTTAAGACAGCTCACCTTAGAGGAGCTGTTTAGAGATGCGATGGTCTGGCATCCTTGCAACCTGGCCTGCCCAGCGTGTCTGGGCTTTCATCAGTAGGGTATGAACTGATGGCAGGTCTGCTCTGGAGAGGACTTCTATGTCTGGTACCTTGTCCTGCCACCGGATCCTCAGAAGTCTGCAGAGGCAGGTTGTGTGGAAGTAGTTCAGTTGCCTAGCATGCCTCCTGTATATAGTCCAAGTCTCACTGGCATACATCAGGGTAGATAGCACTACTACTTGGTAGACTCTGAGCTTTGGAGCAAGGCTTATTCCATGGCGGTCCCACACTTTGGTCAGTAGTTGATTCTGCAGTTGACCTCAATGTCAATTGTCACTGCGCGGGAGAGGGTGCTACCAAGGTATGTAAATTGGTCCACCGCTTGCAGCTTTTGTCCCTTTACTGTGATGGTGGGCTCTTGGTATTGGGCTTTTGGAGCTGGCTGGTGCATCACATTGGTCTTCTTTGTGTTAATGAGAAGGCTGAAGTTGTCACACGCTGCTGCGAATTTGTCCACACTGGATTACATTTCCTGCTCTGATCCAGCATTCACGGCACAGTCGTCAGCAAAAAGGAGGTCTCGCGGCACAGTCTCCTTTATCTTGGCCACTTCAATTTATTTCATTTGTACCCTTCTGCATAAGGAGGTAGCTTCTATCTATTGCAGTAAAAAAAAAAAAAAGCCAAATCTGAAAATCCACTAGATGGCAATAGAATACTAAAGGTAAACTTTAGGAAGTGTGCAAAAAAAAAATTCAGGAAATGCCTTTGAACTGATTTAGTATCATCAAATGATCTACCTAAAATGTAACAAATTTCATACATATTATTTACCCTTAGTATTTATTTTCAGTATACTTTCCAATATATTGCGTTTGGATCCTATGTTACCTAAAGCTTTTAAACTTGATTTAGTGAACTAACTGCTATTACTGGATTCACACAATGTTCTAGTGATCTTTATACAGAAGCTGGTCTTTGCAGGAAGGCTGAATAGATCAGCAGTCCTCAAGTATTTCTCTATTTTAATTTCTAATACAGTAAATATAGTTAGGAGAGCCCAATTGATGTAGTGATTTTAAGGCATCAGGTTAGAAATCTGAAGAACATGAGTTCTACTTTTGCCTTAGGCACAAAGACAACTGACTGATCTTGGGCTAGTCACTATCTCTCAGCTCTAAGGAAGCAGGCAATTGCAAACTGCTTCAGAAATCTTGGAATGATCTTGACAGGAGTCAACTCTGATTCAGCGGAATGGATGGGTGGATAGATCCCATTTAATTAAAGTTCTTTGGGGTTGTCAACCATTGTTAAAACTGTAAAGAGACCCAGAGACCAAACCTTTTGTGAACTGGTGCTCTAATGGATCCCACACAGAGCAAGGGACCGAGCAAGATGACTGCTATAATCATTTCCAATTCTGATTCTATTTAAAACTGACCTAAATCATATTAAGATTTAATAATAAACCAGGATTTAGAAAATCTAAAAAAGCATGTTGAGGATCAAATTACACTGATGTTCCTAACAGAATGAAAATAAGACTATCAATCAGCAAGATACTGAACTAGACCTTCAGAGACTGGAGAACAGAAAAATAACTTATATATAACCCTTAATCTATTTAGTGGCATCTAAATACTGAACATGCCATCATTTTTGCAAAAATTCCTAATTAAAGAAACATAAAAACCATTAAAGCATTTTTCAAGCTATTCCAGTTATCTGTTACCAGAACAAAACAAACACAGATTCTTCCAGCAGATTATTCATACAGAAGAAACTGACAGCCAAATGATTCCCAATGAAAAGCTACTGAACTCTCAGTGAAACCCCTTTGCAAGATGGCGCCATTATTTTTAATTCAGCTTTGTATGCCCTGGCTTTCTGCATCTATAATCTCCTGCCAGTTAGAGGCAGTAAAAACCCAAAGCATTAGTAAAAGGAATGGGCTTCTGTATCCTTTCTTTGTCTAAAGCAGGGGTGGCCAACCTTTTGGATCTCAGGGACCACCAAACTCATAATTTTAGATCCCAGGGACCACTAACTGGTTCTGTGGGCGTGGTCTAATTTGTGGGTGTGGCTTGATGGTCATGTGACTGGCTGGGCATGGCTTGTATGTAAATATTATAAATATTTATATAAATATTGAATTTTTTATTTTTAAAAAAGCAACTTTTACCCAAAATCAGGCAAAGCAGGCAGATTGAGTTGCTCACAGAATCATTCAGTGATCCATCTGCCATCGGCTAGCTCAGTCTCTCAAATTTGCTTGCCGTGAGTCTGCACTGAATTTGCTTGCAAGCAAACCTTCAGTCCAAAGGGAGCTTTGGCTGTGCTGAGTCGAAGATCTAAAGACTGACTAGAAAGCAAGAAATCCAATCATTTCCTGCTTCCTAGCTAATCTAAATCTCCCGGCACAACAGAACAGATAATGGTCGGAAAAAGGAAAAATAGCAATTTAGCAGGCAAGTTTACTGAGTAAGGAGTGAGTAGGCGGGGAGGGTTCCCGCGGGCCATGTGGGCGGCACAGCCTTGTGTTTCTGTGCAGCCTGGATTAATTGCTTTGTGGGGGTGCTCTGGGGGTGAGATATCTCTGCGGCCCACCAAAATTTTATCACAGCCCACCAGTGGGCCGTGGCCTACCAATTGGTGACCGCTGGTCTAAAGGACTTAAATTGCAGATCTTTGTAACATGTCTTCTATTGATTAGATTGATGCTCTCAGGGCTTTCATCACTTGTCTCTTCTTTCAGCTCATCTCCTTTTTCCCTTTGGGTGGACTCTGCAGTTCTAGCTGTCACTTGATGGGAACTCTTTCCCTGCTAAAAAGCACCTGACAGGCTCTTAGCTATAGAGATTTAAATAGCCTCCTCATCACTTATTACTTATCACTGTGTATTTCTTACATGAAGTTTATTTTTATTTTCTTTCACCAACCTCTAGAATACCTCCTTACAAAAGTTATACTCCTAACTTTAGAGCAACTCTTATGCCTTCTTTCTGCTGAGTAAATACCTTTTCTGGGTGGAAACATGAGATATCAAAGTACTGAGAGATATGAAATATAAGGTATCAGTTCTAAAGCACCATCGCTGAAAAGAAAAAAAAATCATATAAAATTGGGCTGTTTGGAAATTTACAATCCACCAAAAGTATATTCTATTTTTATTCCATGTAATTTTATTCCATTGTTCTGTAATCTTCAACCTGTAATCCCAATGTATGTTTCCTTTTGAGTTACCCAGACTCTCAAACTATAAATGCACATAGATACATATATCTGAAGCAAGGCTAACTGTTAAGAATATAAGTCACCTAACAGGTATTTGGGTTAGAAATATATAAACCAGGATAAACATTTTAGTACTATATCTTTAAGGGAATGCAAGAGCATGCAATTGGGTGTGGTTTCTCAAACAGCCATAAGATGGAGCCAGAAACCTGGATTGTTTGGTCTGAGTCTCAGAAGAGAGTGTAAGTGTATCTCTGTTTCCTTCTGTTGGAAAGTATTGTCGTTCCTCCATTTCTTCTAATTGACTGATATTACTGGATTTAATGTAAGTCTGATACTGAACTGTTTTTGACACTGGAATTTGATATTTGGATTATCCCTGGATGAAAACTGACTGATTTTACCTGTGAATGATTTTGGACTGCTTATCTTGAACTTTGCTTAAACTGTCTGGAAGTAAAAACCTACATTTACTGTACAGTGTATCTGTGTGCTGTATGTGTATTATTCAAACACTACTCTCAAATACATCTCCCTGTATGCGCTCATTCTCCTAACAGGGAATTACCTCAACACTAACCACTCATTTATTATTATAGCAATACCCGTTTCAATAACAGTTGTTATATTGTGGGGAGGGTGAGAAAATAAGGCAATCAGAGTGACAGAGTTTATAAGTGCCTCTTGAAAAACATTTCTTAAATAAATATTTACCTAATTCCCTGTTTTAGATATCTTTCTTCCAAAAACTATCTGGGTCAGGTAAATTAAGAATTATGTTTATCAATGACTACCACAGAGAATCTGAAAACAAAAAAATACCTGGCAGATATTACAAATATCATGTTCTTGTACCCCACATTCCCCAATGCTTTTTACTCTCCCAGGGGCTTGGCCTTTGCAACAGAGCTGCAATTAACACTGAGTTTACCTGAGAAGGTGGCATGGGGTAGCTGACTTGCTGGTAGTCACTGTGATACTTTGGAAGAAAACAATTAGGAGAAAGACAGCAAAGCCATTCAGAAGTAGACATTAGTAGTTTTTGGAAGATGAGCATCAGTTGGAGGAGGGAGGGTAGGGGAATATAGAGTCTATAGGAAAATCTTTATCAGCACGTACTACTATGGTAGGTGCTTTATTACTTTATTTTCCAAAATGGGCATCTTAAACTATGTTTTATATCCCACAGCCTACATGTATACATTGTGGGGCAATACTGCAGCACTATAAGCAAAACAGTTATCAAACACATGATCTACTAAAGTTTACAGCATATCCCAACTGATCTTCCAATTTCATCCAAACCATTAAATCTAAAAAAGAGGCTTCTGCTTTCTTAGATTTATTTTATTTTTTACATCCCACCTTTATTGTCCCAAAGGTGCTTTTTCAAAAGGCAACTGGACTTTGTTTTTCCTTGAAAATGTTTCGCCTCTCATCTAAGAAGCTTCTTCAGTTTAGTCAGAACTGAAGAAGCTTCTTCATCCCACCTTTATTATTTTTACAAATAATTCAGTACGGCAAATATATTCAGTATACCCTTCTACTCCTATTTTCCCCAAAACCATAATCCTGTGAGGTGGGTTAGTCTAAGGGAGAATAACTGACTTAAAATCACTGGCTTTCATAGATAAGGCAGAACTAGAACTCATGCTCTCCCAGTTTTTAATGGTGCCTTAACCATGAGGCCTAACTGTCTCTGGAGATTATTTCTGAATGGCTTGGGCTGTTACATTCTGCAACCTCACATATAGGCTGTGTTTGCACAACAGGCCATTGTTCATTCAACCACCATTTCTTCAATTCCATGTCTAGATTCAAAGGAAACAGTATATTTTAAAGTAACCTTAAAGGTTAGATTCCCACAACCAACTACACTAAATGTGATTGGTTCATTAGTTGCTCACTGTATTCTCTCTCTCTCTCTCCCTCCTCTCCCTCTAAAATCTGCAACTCCGCAGTCATGCATGAGAAATTCAGTGAAATGTATGGTTCTTTTGAAAGGCAGGCAGGCAGCGTGTGTGGGTATACACCTTCAATTCTGGCTCCTTGTAACTGCCTGGACAAGTCCCTGCAGCTTTCTTGGACAGATTTCAAAAGTGGTTTGCTATTTCCTCCTTACTAAGGCTAGGCCTAAGGTTATCCAGCTGGCTTTGTCCATAAGATTCAGGGTCTTCTAGTTTCTCACCTGCTACCACACCAAACTGGCTCTCTTCATCAAGCAGAATACAAAGATATATAACATTTTACAGGGCAGCACTTTGAGATGTAGGACCACTCCAAACTGGGTTTCCCTTGCCTGGCTTTTCCAAACTACTCCTCTTCTCTTCTCTTTTCCTTGTATTAACCATCTCTCTTCCAGCAAACGGTTCTTTTTCAGAACAGCTCAGAAGGGCCATGCCACATTATTTCAGGCGCCAGACTTCTTGTGCGGCTGCCACTCTTCCTCTTCCCTACGGACCAAGACACTGAGATGCGTCGGCTGGGGCTGCGTCCCACGCTGAAGCGCGTCTCCCTCCCCGGCTCCCACACGGCGGAGCTGTCGTTCCAGATCCGCGGGCGACAGCAATGAATGGAGGCCTCACGGCAGCGCCGCCCCTCACCTCGGAGCGCCGTTCGCTTGGCGACACGCTCGGCCTTGCCTCGGGCGGCTCTCGCCCAGCCCCGCCAGCTCCAGTCAGCAGGAACCCGGAAGCAGGCGGTGCTGCAACCAAGCCGTTTCCTGCGCCAGACTCGGAGACGGGGCTGAGCTGCGATCTGGGGAAGCGGAGCAGCTGCGGAGCCATGACTCACCAGACCGGCATCCACGGTAGGAAAACGGGGAGCCCTGGGAGGGGGACGGAGGGGGTGGTGGTGCTGTCACCTTTTGTGCCGCGCTTCGCTCCGAAGCCTGTCGCCAAGCGGCCCGCCCAAGCCTCTCCTTGCCCATTCATGCCGGTTCCCCCGGCTTTGCCTTGGCTTTGCCGTCCTCTCGCGCAAACCTCCATTCTTCTGTCCTCCGGCTCCGTTCCTGATTTGGGGTCGGAGAAAAGGGGCTCTGACACGCAGCTCGGCCTCGATCGTTCAGACGATTCTTCCTCCCGGTTGATTCCCTTGGTCTTTCCCGTCTGGGGTGGTGACCCATCTGCTTGTGCGGTGGAGATAGGAGGCTTTTTGATTGAAGCAAAGTGGGGGGCACCTTTACAATGAAAAGTAATTCCTAGAAATCTCTCTCGATACTGTGTGGGTAGCCGTGATTGCCAAGGATACCCCACAGTGCCCCATATTTTTTCTGGCATCATAATCACACCAGCAAGCACCCGTTTATTCAACGGGTTGTCTACAGCATTTATTTGAAGGTAAAAGGCATCATCTCTTTAGCCCTTGCTCATCCCGATGTTCTAGCAAGCTTGAACACAGTGATGATCCTTGCTAGCCTGTCATTCTACATACATACATACATACATACATACATACATACATACATACACACACACACACACACACACATATATACATATATATATAGTATTTGTGTTATGTTTTATGTGTACATTTCAGATCTGAACAGAAGGTTCCTTTTATTTCATGTCTTTGGGTGCAGTTGCTGATGGGATATTGTGGCTACTCATGGCATTTCTCTACTCTGCAATGGATCTGAGATGTGGCAGCCTGTTCTGGTTGCTGCTGTATAAATCGCCTAACATGTTGGCTCTGCAGTGTGAATCATAATTGCCGGAGCCATTTCCCTCACCACATGGAAGCGGCTCTATGGTTTTACAGCACATCTCAGCTTCCTTGTATCTTTAGCATCCAGATGCTAAATCTTAATCGGTGTCTTTCTGCATGCTAGGATTTTGTTGAAATGCACCACAGAATTACTGTGCTACAAGAAGTAATTATAATTAAAGATTTGCTTTGGAAAGCTGTCAGAATGTATAACTATAGTAGATTATACATTTATCAGCTGCACAAATCAAATAGGGGTGATTATAATTGGCCCGTCCTGAACCCCTCTCCAACCCTCCCTTCCATATTGTACTTTATCAACTTGCTGGGAATTTTCAGTTTACAGTGTCAGACTATGGGAATACATATGAGGCCTAGTCTAGCTGTTCATAATTCTGTCTCTAGACTTAGACAGCACTTTTTCAGTAGTTGGAAGTGTTGCATGCTGCTAATTTTAAGTGCATTACATTCAAATAGTGCAATCTGCATAAATGGCTATAGCCCAAAAGAGTGAGAGACTGATAGTAGAGCAGCAAAGGTGCAATTTGATGTAACAGGATGAAGCTGAGTTGCAAGAACTGTGTTTAAAAACCAGGAAATCATCTTGTGAGTGAGTGGCAGGGCTTGTTAAAAGTAGCAATATTGCTGGGCAATGCTTAAACTAAGTTAGATGCTGGATTGACTGAATGGCTGGGCGAACAGCACGTCTGCATTTTCTCTGAAAGAACAATCTCATGGATACTGATAGTTTAAGCTTCATTAGCGATAATTATGCTTGTTACAATTTTCTAGGTTCCTTGGATTTGATAAAGTTCAGCTATTTTAAACCATCTCCTTTCAGTTAGGGTAGATTTGGCAAGCAAGATAACAGTAATAGCAATTCGAGGTCTATTCATAAACTAGCAGGCAAACATAGAGATATGTAACTGCTATCATCACAATAGAATATACACATTTAAATAATGATTTTATTCCAACTTTCTTCCAAGGATCTCCTCTATTCATATTTTTGTCTCCTGTTATGTTATCCATATATCAACCCTCTAGGGTAGGATTGACTTAAAAGCAGTGGCTGGTCTATATTCACCTGGTAAGTTTTGTGGCTAAGTTGAGATATGAAATTGAACCCACAACCCTATTTGTGGTTCAGAACCGTTCATTGTGCCACTTCATTATGGTTACTAAATGTGTACAGGCAGCCCTTGACAGTTGAGTCCAAAACTTCTGTTGTTAAGTGAATTTTGCCCCATTTTAAGCCTTTCTTGCCACAATTGTTAAGTAAATAATTGTAGTTGTTAATTAGTAACACTCGGTTCTGGCTTCCCCATTGAGTTTGCTTGTCAAAAGGCTGCAAAAGATGACCACATGACCCCAGGACACTGCAACCGTCATAAATATGAGTCAGTTGCCAAGCATCCAAATTTTGATGAAGTGCTGTTGTAATTTTGAATGGTCACTCAATGAACGGTTGTAAGTCAAGAACTACCTCTATTAATATTAAAGTTTATGCATATAAGTGTCTTTGCAGCTGATTTAATGGTATTGTATCACAAGGGGGGGTTATATGTTGAAATGTATTTGAATGTTAGTAGCTCAGGTTGCTAGTTGGGCTGTTGCTTTGAGCTCCGAGCTTGGCAATTTTTTTGCAAATGTTTCATCACTATTCGAGGAGACATCGTCAATGCACTTTGAATTGCGTTGGTATGTATGTTAGAAAGAACCATGGTATGTTAGTATGTGGTTTTTGTCCAGTAAACTATTTTCTGCTGTGTTACTCAGGCTGGGCTTGCTCATCCCTGATCTGCCATTCATTAATTATTTACTTGGGTTTATGTGTCATTTCAGTCTTTTAATCAGCTCAGGTTTCAGTTCTAATAACTCAGATGAAAACTGTAAAATGGTAAGCAATAGCCTCATACTGTAATCAATAACATAACACAGAATAATGATCACAATAACAATAAGAACAATAATAATGGCAGTGCCTGGAGACGCAGAAGAGAAGAGAAAGAACTGGAGAAGATAACAAAATACAAAGACCTACAAATAGAAATAGAACAACTATGGCAAAGGCAAGCAAGGGTAGGACCAATAGTAATAGGCACCTTGGGTGCAGTCCCAAAACAACTGGAGCACCACTTGAACACCATAGGCATTGACAAATTTGCCATCAGTCAATTGCAGAAGGCAGCTTTGCTTGGAACAGCTTCCATCCTGCGGCGATATCTATAACACCATCAAACATCCAGATTTGCCTATCCCAGGTCCTTGGTAAGGATTTGATAGGTAGACAAAAATGCCAGTCTGAACATCTGTCTGACTGTACAATTAATAATAATAATAATAATAATAATAATAATAATAATAATAATAATAATAATAATAATAATAATAATA